AGTACAAAAATACTTTATACAACATATATGAACACTCTCTATACAAATAACCCAGATATACACTATGCAAGGAACCATTTCTGAACTCCCTACCTAAAGGCACTTTTGCACTTTGGAATGGTCATATCTATAGTGACAGGAAGATGCCTGCTGGTCCACAGACTTTGGGGGACATAGATTAGGAATTATGATGTTTATTCTTACTTGAATCTTGGTGTGCTTTGTGTATTACTTCCAGATCTATGCAGTAATCCAGTGTGAAACTTTGCCTCTGTACAGGAGCTTCCTGTAATAAAGACTGGTCACTGCTGCACTCTCTACTTGTGCAGGGTGACTGGTCTTGTATCTGATGCATCGCTGCACCAAATCGGTCAAGCAAAACAAATGACAAACACCCCCTTCTGTAGTTTTCTGATGACAGCCTGTAGTGGGTGGATCTTTCTGGCCCCTCCCACAGCTCTGATCTCTGCCCAGGGTATGTACAGTACAGTGATGCTGCTGCTGCTACTTTAATAAGGCAATTACTGAGGCACATTCAGTTGCTCAGCCGCTGCGAGTCAGTGTTTAGCACTGCTAACTTAGCACTCGCAGCGGAAGTGAATGTGGATGCAGAGTGCTGAGTGTGATGGAGAAGGTGGGGACATAGCACCAGTGGCCATTTTAAATATGGGCACACCTGGCAGCGCTGGAGTGATAAGGGAAATCACTTGGGTGTGGGAACCTACATTTTAATGTTTTGGTGGACAAGCACACCAAATATTTGTTGGAAAATGGTATTTATTAGTGAAAAATATTATCCTCCGCCATTTTGTTTAGCACTGTGCAGCCAAAGCGTTCAGTGAAGCTGCTGCAGCAAACTGAAGTGCTTCAGAACAGCTACTCATCGCTTGGCTAAGGAGCTGTACGTGCCTCTGAGTAAAACCTGCATAGTAGGAGAAGGTCCCAGAGCACCAGTGGCCATTGTAACTGTGGGCACACCTGGCAGCAATGGAGAAGGGTGCCCGTTGGAGCAAATCCGTGTGGAAGCCTACAATTTAATATTTTAGTGGACGAGTGGGACAGAAAAACTGTGTCTGAATGATGCCCTTCCCCCTGTAACACAGTAGAAATAGCACTAATGGCAGAGTTTAACACTGAATGCTCCGCCATTTTGCTTAGAACTGTGCAGCTGAAGTGTTCAGTCAAGCTGCTGCAGTGAACTAAAGAGCTGTAGAACAGCTACTCAGCGCCTGGCTATGGAACCGAACGCGCCTCTGGATGTACAAAGGCATTTGGTAGACACAAAGTGGATTTATTTCCTTGGTGGCTATTGAGGAATATATTCCAATGAAAGTTTTTGTGCCCAGAGTGCAGCCTTAATCCTTTTGTTACCCATGCACAGCAGATGGCAACTGGGCACGCAGGTATGATCGAACTAACAAACCATCTTCCGTTTGAAACATATTTCCATATCTCCAATCTTCATTGAAGTTGGTTTTTATCACTGGAAAATTAGAATAACTGGCCAGAAGAATGTTACCCAGCTGAGAACATTCAACCATATGGTATCTGTAGACCTTCCACAAGGGCAGCAGGCATAAAATTGTTCAGTTATCCAATAGTAGACATGTGCACCAGCCAAAAATGTGTTTCGTTTTGATTCGGATTTTGCGTTATTTCGTTTTTCGGGATTCGGGTCCGAAATTCAATTCGTATCGGAATTCGGATTCGGACAAAATTCGTTAGCTAACATATGATCATCAGTGTTTTACCCATACCTGTCGGTATGTCCAGTCAACAGTATACTTAAAGGAGAATTATGTGGTGAGTGAAAAACACTCCCATTATTAAAGCCGAACTGTGAAAAAGAAGCTGTCACACGTCGGCTCCATTGATCGGGAAGTCATCGAATACACAATGCCGATTGCTGACATCCCAATCCTCTCCCTGCAGAGAGTGGTAACTATCAGTCATCGCTCCCCGCAGGGACTGCCCTCTCCTTTGCCCTAGCGCTGCTAAAACTACCCTTGCAGTGTGTTTACCCCTGTACTGCAAAGCCCAAGTCCTCGTTATGCCTAGGAGACAGGAAAAAGTTATTTGTCTTGATCTCTGTACCCATGGGTTATATACTCCATTGTAGGAGTAGGCCACTATGCACAACAAAGAAGCTCAGATCTGGGGGAAGCTCCTACTGATGGCCACACCCCCATCCTAGGCAGCTCAGTTCAGGGTTTTTTTTTGTTCCTGTCCCTCGGTGGACACTGCTTTAAAGTGACATTAAACCCTCAGATTTTTTAACATAAAACAATACTGTAATGTGTGCCTTACTGTAATCCATGGTTGTTTCCCTTCTCTTTGCTGCTCTTCCTTTTAAATCCTCATGTCTTCTCATGCTTGGGGAGAACTTCCCTTTTCAGCTGAGTGCCTCTTCCTGTAGTGCTAGCTCAGGTTACAAACGTACACACGGACACCATATAGCCATTCCAGAGACAAGGCAGTCTGCTACAAAACAGAAGTTCTGCCCAGCATGAAAACAAATACAGATTTAAAAGGAAGAGCAGCAAAGAGAAGGGAAACAACCATGGATTACAGTAAGGCACACATTACAGTATTGTTTTATGTTAACAAATCTGAAGGTTTAATGTCACTTTAAGACATTTCATTGGTACAGGGATCAAGATTTTCGCTATGTCCTCAAAGAATGTACTCAGTGTAAAATAATTTTTTCTGCGTTCATTGAAGGAAACAGCACCACCAGCAACCAGCCACCAGCAGGTGCTGTCCCCATAACCAAGGCTTATGTTTTGTGCCTAGCGTCCGACTGCTGTAAGTGGTGCTTTAATCCAACGATATAGAGATCAAAATCTCCCGTGTCCTTCAATGGACGCAGAGAAACGTATTTTATGGTGAGTACAAAAAAATCTTATTTTTATACCTGAACCCCATTCTTGTGGGCTCTCTCCAGGCTGCTAGACCATGCCCCACACACAGTCTCCTCTTCTCTTCACTCCAGTCAAAGGACTGCTGATGTTATCACATCTAATGTTGGTTCCATAGACCTGCATTAGATGTAAAGACACGGAGGGACATTCCACCAGCCGGAGGGGAGAGAGTTGAGTGCTGACCACTGGGGAGAGGTGATCAGTTAAGTAAACTAGCTTTTCTGGTCCCTAGGCATATATGAGCACTTAATCCTTGCTGTCTTGGGACGGCCCCACTGCAAGGATAGTTTTTCGGTTCGTTGAATGTTCTAGTAGTTAATGGGGTCAAATTGATGATTAATTTGACCAAAATGACGAAAAAAATCAAAGGAGCAGGAGGGAAAAAGTTTCACACATGATCAAAATTCCTACAGTGTAAGTGGTTTTCGTTCAAGAATCGTCATTCATTTCAAAATCAATAGGGTTATTCACAAAGGGTGAAGAGTAGAGACGCACCGAAATGTAATTTTTAAAACCGAAACGAAACCTAAATGAAAAAAATGTTGTTGGGCCGAAACCGAAGTTTTTTTTTCCCATCGTTTTCTAATTTTTTAAAATATTTTATTTTTATTAATTTTTATAAACTTCAAAAAAAATATATATTTTATTTTTTTAATTTATTTTCATCAAATATCTTTATTTTTTTTACTTTACTTTTAGGTGCTTCAGGGAGCTATTATATTACTATCTAAACTGACCCCTGATATTTTCCTTTTAAAATAGAAAAAGAGATCGAGTCCTCAATCTCTTTCTGCAGCCCCTGTTATAAATGAACAGATCCTCTTGACGGAGTGTTCCTGTTCATTTATAATATGTGGATATAGTGTGTTTACTATAACCACAATCATGAATGAACAGGAGGTGATGTAGGTGTGATGTAGATCACTTCTCATTCATTCATAATTGAGGACACAGTAAGCATACTATGTCCTCAATTATTTCCAAACACTCAGCGATCACTGATTGCTGAGTGTTTGTACCGCTCTCCATCCTGACAACTTCACAGGAGGCTGAGCGAGCGTTGCCGAAGGAGAGCTCAGCCTCCTCTGACAGCGCTGGCTGTCTCCGCCCACACACCGCTCTGCCGATCTGTGACAGGAGGCTGAGTGGTGCGGGGAGGAGAGACGTCGGCCGCTCATATAATGAAAAAATACATACTCAACATACACCATAAAGTGTATGTGAACTTTAATTTACATAGTTGGGGATTCATTTTATTTGTCCCCAACAATGCACTTTTGAATCCTTTTATTTAAAAAAAAAAAGATTAAAATACATTTACACACCTGGTGATCCTGCCAGTGCCCCCTTATCGTGTTTCCTTCTGACCACATTAGGAATGAATGCAGATCTGTCCTAGGATGGTCAGCTTGCACCTCTGCCCTTAGTCTACTCATTGACGTAACGAGCATTTGGAAGGGGGTCACTGCCAGGGTATTTTCTTTCCTTCTGCCCGGAGTTGGCCTTTAATGCAACATACTTTGCATTGTGTTGGGAACATGCATACAATAAGTAAAGCTCAACTCCAGCTAAGGCTTTTTTTTTTACAAATTAGGGAAAGAATAAAACTTATCAGGTTTTTATTTGCGGTAAGTGTTTAGAATTTGTTCAGGACAAGAAGTTATGAGAAATCTCTCCAGCGAAGACAAATACTAAAATAAAACAATAATTTCAATAAAATCAGAACCCTCCCAGATTTTTGACAGAGGTTCTTCCTTCAGCTTTCTGTGACAACCAGTCCCCTTGTCCTGCTGTTGTAAGAAAAGTTAGCAAAGTAAACCGAAAAGGGTCGCTGAACAGGAATAAAAACGATGAAACTTATAACTCTTCTCAAGCCCATCAAAAACTATAAAACAAGTTTTGGGTGTTGTTAACCTTTCTTGCCAATTTATCAAATTTTTCCTGGCACTTACAGCTTTTAGCAAGGAAAGAAACTCACTATCATGCAATTGGTAAACATTAAAGAAAAGAAATGGCTTCTTGGCCCAAATTGTAAAGTGTAGCCCTTTAGAGTAGCCAAGGTCCTTCAAATCTGCAAGGTTGTCCTCCATACCGTAGACTATTTAGACTGATCTTTAATTTACCACGTTAGTTGAGCCTAAAGCAATCTTAAATTTTTGTTTGAAAGCATTTAGTCTTTCCTTGTGAGCAGGCCATTGTAGAATACAGCGGGACTTGAACATTCCTCTTCGTAGTTTTAGGCTATGATTTAGTTTGTAGTCAGCAATATCTTCAACAAACAAGAGAATGATAGAATCACGACTTTGCTCAATGACTTGCTGGAGGGCCTGGTGTATCTTGAACCTTGTAGAAACAAAGTAATGTCATTCAATATAACCACAACAAAAAGGTAAAAATAACAGATAAGTTGTAAAGAAAAGTAATGTTAAAGCATATGTTAAGCCCACATACTGTATACAAATATATGTACATTAAGTAGAGGAGGAGCACTTTCCAGATGTGCAATGGATGTGTTTGAAAGTGGCCTTAAGGTATCTTATTGTCCCTAGTTTGCAGGGGTCAGATGACCATTTTCTTTCTTTCCTGGTGATTTTGACTGTTTTGCCGTGGACTGGCAGAAGCAGAAAACTGTTGTGACCTGGAGGTCAGTAGAAGGAACCAGTGAGAACTGTGGGGGACCAAGGAAATCACCACTACTGGAAGTGTCGGTTTCCATATGGAAAGATTTATACTGAATGGAGCAGTGTTTGGCGGCATGTGCTGCAGAGGAGGTAAGTATATACTTATTTTACAGGTATAGCTTGGCTGGGTATATTTAGTATAGCTACAGGGAATTTTAAAGCTTAATTCCAATGACACTAGGCATTATTCAACCCATTAGAGAAGCAGCATCTAGTGGATAAGCAAACTTTCTGTGGAAGACAGCACCAAAGAGAAGGCCAGTATTGCAGCAAAAGTTGCATTTAAAAAAAAAAATACCAGTGCTTGTAAGTGGAGTTGGGCTTTACCTATGTCACACTGAAAGAAATACTGTGGCTGCCAGTGCTGCTGTACATTTTGAATTACTGAACCTAAACAAGCATGCTGATTAGAACAACACTGGCAAAAATACATTTTGTATGCCACTTTTAATAATTAGGTGATCAATGTATTCATTTACAGGTTACCAAACTTACCTTCTACACCATTTGTCATTCAGAAAATCATGGGAAATAACAAAAATAATTTTCCTGCTTCTTCTGATGCTGTTGACTATTAACGTTGGAATCGGTAATCCGGCTTCAAAGTCTCTTTCCTCAAAGCAGAACCTAAGCTGAGAAGCAGCATCTTCTTCAAATGGAAGCAGATATTTGTAAACCCAATCTATGTCTTTGCTAGCGTGAATGATATAAGCATCATACATAAAGTTTTGGTGACCTGGATCAATTACTCTAAAACCAAGAATCGTGTTAACCACAACATCCCAGTAAAACTGTATTCTCCAGCCTTGAAAATGTAAGAACAAAACCAAAAATAGAAAGCAACTTGTAACCGAGAAGGTGAGTATAAATACTGCTTTAAAAGGAGCTGTGTCCTTGCAGGGAGCGCTATCAAATTGTTCCACAAAAATGCCATGGTATTTATTAGGTGTATTGCAAACATACTGTGTGCTCTGTCCTATGACACTTGTATTTGTTGTATTAAGCCAGTTAGAAAACCAAGCAATGCTTTCACAAGTACAGTCAAAGGGGTTTAGGCACATATTAAACCTTTTAAGGTTGTTGAAAAGATTTTTAAATGTATCCTGCTCAACTGATGTTATCAGATTCTTATGAAGATCCAGTGATTCAAGTGAGCCTTGATCTTCAAATAGAGATGGTGGCAGTAAATACAAATTATTTTCTCCCAAATCCAGTATGTTTAAATTTGAAAGACCTTTGAAAGCTTTAGTAGGAATCTCATCAAACCCATTGGACAATAAGTCAAGTATTTCCAAATTCTGAAGACCTTTCAGAAATAAAACAGGTCCTCCAGGGTTAGCTTTTTTCCACAGTCGAGCAAGGTTGTTATGCTGTAGATTGAGTATTCGAAGGCTATGAAGATCAGAAAAGAAATCCTCCGCTATGTTAGCAATATTGTTGTTCCCAAGGTCCAAAAATGTGAGGTTCCTCAGACAACTAAAGGGAGATGTGCCCTCGGCTTTAAATGTCAGTGCTGTTTTTCTAAGGTTCAGCTTTTCAAGGGTTGGAACAAAACTAAATGAAGTGCTTGTTAAGGCCAAATGCTTATTGTAAGAAAGATAAATTGTTTTAATGCTTTTAAGACCTTGAAACTCATAGCCACTTAAGTTTTGCTCCATCTTGTTTAGGCCTACATCAAGTATCTCAAGATGTTCCAGAGAAGAAAAGACCCCATATTCTAACTTGGCTATGCTAGTTTTTGTGAGATTCAGGAACATTAATGGAGATTTTGAGAGTGATAAAAATGTCTTATTAGTAAATGACTGAAATGAGCATTCAGTCAAGCTTAATGTCTTCAAACTTGTCAAGCCTGTAAAAGTGAATGGTGTAAAGTAAATATTTTTATTTTTTTCAATATTTAGGTGCTCAAGGTTTCTGAGCCACTGGAATGCCATATCATCAATTTTAGGGTCTTTAGAACTACTAAAAAACTTTTGTAAATTCAAGGATTTAACACTTGTCAAGCCTTTAAATGCCCCTGAGCTTAAATGACTGATTTGATTGTCCTGTAGGTTGAGAAACGTTAAAGACTGCAGATAAATAAAAGAATCATTATCAATTTGGATCAAGCTGTTTTTTGATATATCTAGAGTTGCAAGAGATGTAGATGCAAGGCCTTCAAAAGTTGTATTGTGTATCTTTGATAGTTGAGAATTGAGTAGAATGAGAACTTTAATCTGAGTTGCCGCCAGTTCTGTGCAAAGCTGTTCTATCAAATTAGGTCCCAGTGTCATGTTAGCCATTATAAGTGTATTGAGGTATTTCAGTGGTTGAAAACACCCTGGATGAATCTGCAAAATAAAAACAAGAATATGTTAACTCTTTTATCCTTTCCTAAAGTAAGGGAGACTGTAAAGTAAGCTATGGTATGGTTATCTATATATGAACTTCAAGATACTATATGTCTGTGAGGCTAGGTTCACACCTGGGCGATTGAGCTGGTGAGCTGTTTTCGTGCAGTTGTTGCGCATTTTTGATGACACGATTTTGCTTTGAAAACCGCACGGTTGTCACACGGTTTTTCAAAGCACAGAGATGTTTATGGGACCCAAACCGCGCATCAACCGTCCAGAAATAGCTCCTGCACCTTTTTGCGCGGCAGGAGATTTCTACCGCACGAAAAATCGCAAAGGCGTGAACAACTTCCATAGACTTGAATGCAAATCTCTATTTTGTGTGATATCGCGTGGCTTAATCCGTGTGATAAATCGCCTAGGTGTGAGGGATAGTGCACACCTAGGTGATCTGTCACCGCACGGCAATCGTGCACGATACCGCGCGGATTGCAGCACAGTCATTGAGTCACCCTTTACAGACGATCGCGCTGTGGGTGCCATTATTTTCTAATAGCACCCCAGTCGCGTGTCATGTATTGCAAAAAAAAGGTACATGTACCTTTTTTCTGTGATTGCCGTGCGGATGTCACCCCATTGAAATCAATGGGGCCGTGCGGCAATAGCTGTCTACAATTGTGCAGGACCGCGCGATCCCGAATCGCTCAGGTCTGCACCAGGCCTGAACCTAGCCTGAAGGTTCTCATTCATCCAGGTCATGGCATATCTGTAAAGAAAAAAGGTCAAGGCAACTGGAATTCTTGTAGTTTTTTTTTTCGTGAAGACATTTCACTGGCCAGATACCAATAACTTTAAACACAAACCTACTTTGAAAGAGAGATTTTAATCAGATGCTAGATATATAGTAAGCATACAGAAAAGAATATTAGTGAAATGACAGCCGGTGAGAAAATGTTATAATGTAGGAACATTTTGAATATGTACTCCCACTAAGATGAGAAGCTGACATTTATCTAACATCTTAGTTAATGAGAACTAAAAACCAAACGTCTTTACTGTTCATCTACCTCCCCCAAAATTTTAAAGCAACTCTGTCACTAGAATAAAGACTTGTAATCAGTGGCGTAACCAGAGTTCTGGGCGCCCGGGGCAGAAATTTAGCCCCCGGTTGTTACGCCACTGCTTGTAATTAAGCCATGCCAGGAAGTAATTATGACATAAAAAGTGGAAGTACATCTTACATAGAGGAATTGTGATATTCAGCAGCACTTCATTTTCTCAGCTAACAAAATAGACCAGACTTCAGGCATTTTCTAAAAATACTTTTTAATCAAGGACAGAGGTTTCAGTTGCATACATTTGCAAGAAAATGTGGAAGTAATGTACCACCTACTTCCGTACAGTGAGCCTCTCGTACCAACAAGCAGCATCAGTGGGACTGTATAAGAAATTCTAATTTACTCACTAGCATCTACCAAAAACTAATGCAAATTATATTTTTCCTATATCTTTTCATTGAAGATGCTTTAATCCCTTAGCTATTTCTCGACAGAGAAAATAAATATCACTAGCATCAAAGGAAGGAAGGTACGGCAGGTTTAGTTTTATGTTTAAGTCCCAGATAGCAAGGATAACTTGCCATAAACTTGTGGCAGGGTTAAATAATAATTCTTGTTAACATGCTGCACACATTCCTGGCAAGTTGTAGACTTGCAGAACACTTGCAGCACAAGTTCCAGTTGACACTTTTTGCTTAGTAAGTCTACAGCAAGAGTCCTGCAGGTCTTAGCAAGAGCTCTTCGAGTGTACAGCCCTTTTGCAAAGCACGTTGATCTGGAGATTTGCAATGCAGACTTGCTGTAATTGTGCAACAAATTTGTGACGCTTGGCAAGTCTAGCAATAGTTTAGCAAGTCATTTTCAAACTTGCAGCTCAATTGCTTGCTATCTGGGGTGTTATATTTAAGCCTAACCCATATCCATTTTTCACAGAGAACCACCCGGGTTCTCAATATCCCATAGAGTGCACTGCATCTTGTGCACTGAATACTCACGGCAAGCCCTGTCTCTCTTCATGTTCCTTTCTACCTGGGAGGGGAAGGAGCTGTAAAATCTCAAAGTTAAAGTAATGGTAATGTCAAAATGTTAAGCTATTTCAAGTGCTGATGAAATCAGTTACAATGGGTGCTGCTTCTTAATGTTTTAGTTTCCTGCAGAATCAGCTGGTCCCCTGAGCACTGGCCCTGATATCCTATTTTAGGTGGCTCCTTTTCCTTGCGGTCTCTAATGGAGCCAACTTTGTGTGTACTGGTAAGCTGTGTGTCTCCACAAACACACAGGCACAGCAGCACCAGCCATTCCCCCTCTTTTCTGCTGCTATTTGATGGACGCCTACTGGAGACCGAGTTGTCTTTTGTGATCTTGTACTGCACAGGAAGTTCAGAAAAGCTAGGTTTAAAGAGTTAGAGTCAGCTTTTCAGAAACATGATGACTGTAAGTGTTGGGATAAAAATATAAAGAAATATATTGCTATGCAATGTATATTTGTTTGATCTGGATTCATTATTGAAAAGCAGCCTGAGAGTTTAATACTACTTTAATTTATGCAGATGAGGATAACTTTGAGAGAGTTGCCCTCTTGCATGTAGATACACAGCCTCATTGCCAGTTGGTATCAACTGCATACATGCAGTCAAGATCTTACAATCCATATGAATGGTTCTCTTTATGAAGAGAAAGTCAACTTTTCTACGCCAATTATATACTGTATGAAACATGAATTTTGCAAACCTCCCTGCAGAGTGTTACCTGCTTCTGTTCTGATACTAAGACATACTATTGCAGTAACTTTCATCAAACTGAGTGCCAAGAGTGATATCTGCTTCTTATAATCATATTACCAGACCCAGAGTTGTAATTAGAGTAAAGCAGATTCAAGTGAAAAATAGAAGTGTGTACCTGCTCAACCTCCACCCGCAATTGGATGCTTAGGAAATGTTGGTACTCAGCTGGGCTCTGGTCCACCTCCATCCACGGAAGTTTTGTGTTATGTGAGCTGTTATATGTTAACACAATAAAGCTTTCAGCTGTGTGGCAGACTAATAAATTCACATTTGTGGATAAAGGCGAACCGGAGCCCTGCTGAGCACCAGCTTTCACTAAGCATTCAATTGTTTTTTTCATTCATTCATTAATTTTTTTTAAGCATTCAATTGTGGGTGAAGGTTGAGCAGCTAAAAACTTCTGTTTCTCACAGATGTCTGCGAGGAAGGTGAGGACACACTTTGTGATGTGCTGCCAGAAATGGTACATGCTCCTTTTTTGTACTAGGCAACCCATGCAGATGAATGTGCTGCCTTAAGGCATAGTAAACCCTAAAAATGATTATGACTTACCTGCCATACCAATCACTTCCAGCACACAATCTTTCTTCTCTGGCGCTTCCATTCTGGGTTTCCATTACTGGTTTCAAGTCTTTGGCCGCTTGATTGGCTAGGTGTTACTTCATCTTGGCATGCCAGGTCTGTGCTCTGAGCTCCGTATGCATGGCTCAGCGTACAGAGAAAAACAAATAGCTTAATGGTGAAAAGAAGCTTTTGTGACAGAAGAGACTTACACAGTCTCTTCTGCTGTATAAACTT